AAGAAAGAATTAAGTTTTCTGAACCTTAAAAAAAAGAAATCTACTGCTGAAAATGAAATTCTATGTTTGCTTACCATAACTATAAAGGCTCTAAATTAATGCTCCCTTTACTGTTTCCCTACCAACATAGGACATGATCATCACTTTCAAATTCCATTTATGCTAGATGAACAAACGCCTCAACACATGCTCAATTCTGACAGTTGAATGTGTGTGAAAGCCATCAATCACCTAGCTTGTTGGGAACACAGAGTTTCTTTTCAGTGGGAAAATACACGACATACATATATATGGGGAGGTCCTAGCTCCAACTCGGTTTTACAGAGAAAACTGTATGAACGTCAACCTGGCACTAAGAAACATACTGAGAAATCGCATTAAGTGTTTCTGTGGCTCCTCAATCCCTTTATGCTACATTAACGAACGCGTCTCCACATGCTCAATTCTGAGAGTTGAATGTGCGTGTAATCTGTCAATGACCTATCTTGTTGGGAACACAGTTTCTTTAGAGTGTGGAACTAATCTACATATATATATATATATATGGATAGGTAGTAGGTCCAACTCGGTTTTACACTGAAAACTGCATGAACTTAAAACCGACACTAGGAAACTTACCTAGAAATCACAGTAACTGTTTCTAATGTTACAAAATCCCTTTATGCTACATGAACGAATGCCTCTACACATGTTCAATTCTGAGAGTTGAATGTGTGTGAAAGCCATCAATCAACTAGCTTGTTGGGAACACACAGTTTCTTTTCAATTGGAAACTAAACTATATCTATATGGCTAGATACTAGCACCAACCTGGTTTTACAGTGAAAACTGCATGAACTTCAAACCGGACCTAGGAAAAATAATGAGAAACCAGACTAAGTGTTACTACTGCAAACCATTGCCTTCATCCTAGACGAACGAACGCCTGTCTCCATGCTCATTTCTGAGAGTTGAATGTGTGCAAAAGCCATCTATCCGTTAGCTTGTAGGGAACACACAGTTTCTTTTGAGTTGGGAAATGCACTACATACATATATATGAGGAGGTAATATTTCCAAGTCGACTTTACAGTGAAAACTGCATGAAATTCAAACTGGCACTAGGAAAGAAACTGAGAAACCAGAGTAAGTGTTTCTACTGCAACCCATTCCCTTTATGCTAGATGAAGGAACCCGACACCACATGCTCAATTCTGAGAGTTAAGTGTGTGTGACAGCCGACAATCACCTAGCTTGATGGAAAAAAACATTTTCTTTTGAGTGGGGAACTACAATACATTCATATATATGGAGAGGTACTAGCTCCAACTCTGTTTTACCGTGAAACAGGCAGCAAATTTACCGACATTAGGAAACATACTAAGAAACGTGAGTAATTATTTCTACTGCAAGCCATTCCCTTTATACTAGACGAATGAAAGCCTGTCCACATGCTCTGTTCTGAGTTTAATGCGAGCGAATACCATCTATCACTTAGCTTGTTGGGAACAAAATTTCTTTTGAGTGCAGAACTAATTACATATATATATATGGGGAGGTACAAGCTCCAGCTCGGTTTTAAACTGATAACTGCATGAACTTGAAACCGGCACTAGGAAACAAACTGAGGAACCAGATAAGTGTTTCAACTGCAACCCATTCCCTTCATCCTAGATGAACTAACGCTTCACCCCATGCTCAGTTCTGAGAGCTGACTGTGTGCGAAAGCCATCTATCACTTAGCTTGTAGGGAACACAAAGTTAGTTTTGATTGGGGAAATACACTACATACACATAAATTGGGAGGTACTAGTTCCAAGTGGGTTCAAAAGTGAAAACTGCATGAAGTTCAGACCGGCACTAGTAAATATACTGAGAAAGCTGAGTAAGTTTTCTATTGCTAACTATTCCCTTTATGCTATTTGAATGAACGTCTCTACACATGTGCAATTCTGAGAGTTAAATGTGTGTGAAAGCCGTTAGTCAGCTAACGTTTTGGGAACACACAAATTCTTTTCAGTGGGAAACAACACTAAATACCTATATATGGAGTTACTAGCTCCAACTCTGTTTTACAGTGAAAACATAATGAACTTCAAACTGACAGTATTAAACATACAGCGAAACCAGAGTAAGTGTTTCTAGTGCTACCTATTCTCTTTATGCTAATGAAAAATCGTCTCTCCACTTGCTCAGTTCTGAGAGTTAAGTGTGTGTGGAAGCCGTCAATCACCTAGCTTGTAGGGAACACATAGTTTCTTTCTACTGGAAAACAATACTACATACATATATATTGGGAGGTACTAGCCCGAACTCGGTTTTACAGTGAAAACTGCATGAACTTCAAAGGGGCTCTAGAAACATACTGAGAAAGAAGAGTAAGAGTTATAACTGCCACCCATTCACTTAATGCTAGGTGAACGAACGACAATACACATGCTCAATTCTGAGAGTTAAGTGTGTGTGAAAGCCGAAAATCCCCTAGCTTTTTGGGAAAAAACAGTTTCTTTTCAGTGGGAAAATCCAATACATACACATATATGGGTAGGTACGAGCTCCAACTCTGTTTTACAGTGAAAAATGCAAGAAGTACAAACCGGCACTAGGGAATATACTGAGAAACCCGAGTAAGTATTTCTACTGCAACCCATTCCCTTTATGCTAGATGAACGATCGTCTCTCCACAAGCTCAATTCTGAGATTAAAGTGTGTGTGAAAGCTGTCAATCACCGAGCTTGTTGGGAACACACAGTTTCTTTTCAGTGGGAAACTACACTACATACATATATATGGGGAGTTACTAGCTCCAACTCGGTTTTACAGTGAAAACTGCATGAACTTCAAACCGGAACTAGGAAACATACTAAGAAAAGAGAATAAGTGTTTCTACTGCAAATCATCCCCTTTATGCTAGTTGAAAGAACGCCACTCTACATGCTCAGTTCTGAGTGTTGAACGTGTGCAAAAGCCATCTATCACTTACCTTGTAAGGAAAACACATTTTCATTAGAGTGGGGAAACACACAACATACATATATATGGGGAGGTCCAAGTTCCAACTCAGTTTTACACTGAAAACTGCATGAAATTCAAACCGGCACAAAGAAACATACTGAGAAGCCAGAGTAATTCTTTTTACTGCTTGCCATTCCCTTTAAGCTAGATGAATGAACGCCTCCACAAATGCTCAATTCTGAGAGTTGAATGTGTGTGAAAACCGTCAATCACATAACTAGTTGGGAAAACACAGTTTCTTTTGAGTTGGTATTTACCCTAATAAATATATATGGGGAGGTAATAGCTCCAACTCGGTTTTACAGTGATTACTGCATTAACTTCAAACTGGCACGAGGAAACATACTGAGAAACCAGAGTAATTATTTCAAGTGCTACCACGTCTCTTTATGCTAGATGAAAGAACGTATCTTCACATGCTCAATTCTGAGAGTAAGTGAGTGTGAAAGCCGTCAATCACCTAGCTTGTGGGGGAAACACAATTTTTTTCATGGGGAAAACACACGACCTACTTTTATATGGGGAGATATTAGCCCCAACACGGTTTTACTGTTAAAACTGCATCAATTTCAAACTGGCACTAGGAAACATACTGAGACGCCTGAGTAAGTGTATCTAAAACAATTCATTTTCTTTAAGGTAGATGAACGAATCCCTCCCCACATTCTCAGTTCCTAAAATTTGATGTGTGTGGAAGCCGTAAATCAAAAAGCTTCTTGGGATCAGATAGTTAGTTTTCAGTGAAGAACACACTAGATAAATATATAAGGGAGGAGCAGTCTTCAAATCGGTTTTACAGTGAAAACAGCATGAACTTCAAACCGGCAGTATTAAACATACTCTGAAACCAGAGTAAGTGTTTCTAGTGCTACCTATTCTCTTTATGTTATATGAAAAAACGTTTCTCCACTTGCTAAGTTCTGAGAGTTAAGTGTGTGTGGAAGCCGTCAATCACGTAGCTTGTTGGGAACACACAGTTTCTTTACAGTGGGAAATTACACTACATATATATATATATATATATATATATATGGGGAGGTACTAGCTCCAAATCCATTTTACAGTGAAATCTGCATGAATTTAAAATGTCTATAGGAAAGAGAGAGTAAGTGTTTCTTCTGCAATCCATTAAATTTACGCTATGTGAACGGACGTCTCTCCACATGCTCAATTCTGAGAGTTCATTGTGTGTGAAAGCCATCAATCACCTAGCTTGTTGGGGACACACAGTTTCAATTCAGTGGGCAACTACAATAGATATATATATGTAGGGAGGTACGAGCTAAAACTCGGTTTTACAGTGAAAATTGCATTAGGTTCAAACAGGAACTAGGAAACATACTGAGAAACTAGAATAAGTGTTTCTACTGCAACTCATTCCCTTTATGCTTCATGAATGAACGTCTCTCCACATGCTCAAATCTGAGAGTTAATTCTTTGTCAATGCCATGGATCACTTGGCATGTTGGGAACTCACAGTTTCTTTTGAGTGGGAAACTACACTACATACATATGTATGGGAGGTAGAAGCTCAAATTCGCATTTACAGTGAAATCTTCACTAACTTCAAACCGGCACTTGGAAAGATAGTGAGAAACCAAAGTGTATCTACAGCAAAACATTCTCTTTATGCTAGATAAACGAATCCCTCCCTACATTCTTAGTTCCTAGAAATGAATGTGTGTGAAAGCCATAACTCAAAAAGCTTCTCGGGATCACA